GCCCGGGCCCGCAGCCATTCAAACCGCGAAGCGCCCGCCCGTCGGCCGTCCGCACGGCGACTGCGCCGCCACCAGGGAAGCTAGACCTCAAGTAGGCACCCGTAGTTCTGAGCACGGCCTGCTGGGAAATGTAGTTCGGGCCGGAAGCCCACGGAGGTCAAAAATCATATTTAAAAAAGAAACTCCTGTAGTGTTCCTTGGGCTAAAATAAAACAGGCTTCGCTACGTTTTAAGTAGGCCCCCATGTTGGAGCCAATCAGCAGGACCGTACTGAAGAGAAAAAAAATCGACTCGTGACGATTTAGTGTTCAAGGTGTCTCCAAAATGAATACTCAATATCTGGGTGTCCTTATCTCAAAAATAAGGATAATAGCAAGCGTAATAGCAAGCAAGGGCGGCCGGTCTGCCTAAGTGCAAATTTCAGCATCGCTCCTAATTTCTTGTTCTTTCCTGTGTTTTAATTTTATGTGAGCCCTTCAAATAATTTTTGGATTTTTTAAAAAGCAGTAATTCTTTTATTTCCCAAAGGGCAAATTTATGTTTTCTGTAAGTGATGCATTTGTAGTATCCCCAGTCACCCAAATGGCTTAACTTTATTCCTTTATTTTTATTTTGCTTTCTCTTTCATACCCATAGTAGACTTGAATCACTTATTAACAGTCCTTTTTGATTTATAAGTGGGCATAGTATAAAACATATTTTAAATGTCTATTTATTTATTTTGAGAAGCAGAGAGAGAAATAGAGGTTGAGCAGGGGAGAGGGAGAGAGAGTCCCAAGCAGGCCCTGCGCTGTCAGTGCAGAGCCCGACTTCAGGCTCGATCTCACAAACAGTGAGATCATGACCTGAGCTGAAATCAAGAGTCAGATGCCTAACCAGCCAAGCGCCCCCATGGTATAAAACATTTTTATGTTTGAGGAGCCAATAACACATTGCTGTCTGCTATGGGATCACTTCCTTCTGTCTTCATTGACACTTTGAACCCAGCCACCACACTGTGAAGAAGCCCAGGTCACTTGGAGAAGCCTATTATCAGTGGTAGACAAAGCCAGGCATTAGTTAAAGGGGTAAAACAGATTTTATTCAGACACTATTGACAGTAAGGTAAAGAGCTGAACTCCGTTCCAATCTATGCAGCAGTGACTGGACGATTTAAAGTGCGAATGAAGGAGTAGAGATGGGAGAGAGTGGAGCTGAACCAAAAAATTACAAAGGTTTGGTTGAGTGTAAATGTGATCAGGCCAGCTGTAGCTGCCAGCAGGCGATTTACTGAAGTTAGGATTCTTTTTTTCCCTACAGAGACTAGGAGACAGAGGCCCTATATGGCTCTCAGATCATTGAGAAAGACACTTCAAATGGCAACAGATACATACACATCTGAAAGGGACAGAAGAAGGAGTCACCATTGTGAGCCCTTTTAGGTAAATGCTATAAGAAAAGGGAGGTCTGGGACCTATCGTCAGGTTTTGGCTAGAACAAATGATAAACACTGGTAGCCTTGAGTTTTCTCAGACAGGCATTTTAATGCAGTACTGGAGTCATCCTAGGGCACAGCCTGATGCTACTGGAAGCTATGCTCTAGTGTGGTCATCTCATAGTGTAGAGGTTTGGAGAAAAGTTCTGCCATGTGCAAAGGACCTGAGGCCCCTGGCCTTCAGCCCCAGCCATACTGAATGAGCCAGTGTGAAAGCAAATCCTCCAGCCTTCAGTCAACTGTCCAGCTCATGCTGCATGGAGCAAAGATGAACCTTGCCTCTGATCCCTACCCAGTTCTACCCAATGGCATATTTGTGTGCAAAAGAAATGATTATTATTCTTTCAAGTCACAAAGTTTGAGGATGGCTTGTTATGCAGCAATAAGCAAACACCTATGAAATATAAGACATGTACCTATCAATTGTTTCTATTGACTCCTCAATGTTGCACGGGTAACATCCTTACTTATGCTGTGATCTAATAGCCCAATAGAATTTCAAAGATCATAAATAGCAGTCATCTAAAAATAACCTTTATTTTTGCATTGTGTATATGACCTTAAAATACATGACTTAACTGAGAAACTTCGCATAAGCTTTTATGTGACAAAAATGGGTGTGTGTTGGGGCGCCTGAGTGGGTCAGTTAAGCGATCAACTTCAGCTCGGGTCATGATCTCACAGTTCGTGGGTTCAAGCCCCACGTCGGGCTCTGTGCTGACGTCTCAGAGCCTGGAGCCTTCTTCAGATTCTGTGTCTCCCTCTCTCTCTCTGCCCCTCCCCTGCTCATGCTCTCTGTCTCTTTCAAAAATAAATAATAAACATTAAAAATGTTTAAATAATGTGTGTGTGATCTTGAAACTTTTTGATCATGTCCTCCTAAAAGGATTACCTTCTAGCATATTTTAAAGTTGACATATAAAACATTTCATTAAAAGTTTGATCAGGTGTAATATCAAACATGTAACTATAAACCTTTTAAAATAA